TGATCTTTCAGAGGGTATAGAATCGTTTCTCTCAATGTTTGCCGATGATGCGAAAATTATGAGGAGGATTGAAACTGAGGACGATAGTAGGAGGCTACAAGATGACCTAGACAGACTGAGTGAATGGTCCAACAAATGGCTGTTGAAGTTCAACCCGAGTAAATGCAAAGTAATGAAACTAGGTGGTGGAAATAGGAGGCCAAACACAGGATATAGAATAGGAGATGAAGTACTTAATGAAACGAACAGAGAGAAAGATCTAGGAGTTGATATCACACCAAACCTGTCTCCTGAAGCCCACATAAAAAGAATAACGTCTGCGGCATATGCGAGGCTGGCTAACATCAGAACAGCGTTCAGGAACCTGTGTAAGGAATCATTCAGAATCTTGTACACCACATATGTAAGACCAATCCTGGAATATGCGGCCCCAGCATGGAGCCCGTACCTTGTCAAGCACAAGACGAAGCTGGAAAAAGTCCAAAGGTATGCCACTAGACTAGTCCCAGAACTAAGAGGCATGAGTTACGAGGAAAGGCTGCGGGAAATGCACCTTACGACACTGGAAGACAGAAGAGTTAGGGGAGACATGATCACAACCTACAAAATCCTCAGAGGAATCGACCGGGTAAACAAGGATAAACTATTCAACACTGGTGGGACGCGAACAAGGGGACACAGGTGGAAACTGAGTACCCACATGAGCCACAGAGACGTTAGAAGGAACTTTTTCAGTGTCAGAGTAGTTAACGGATGGAATGCATTAGGCAGTGATGTGGTGGAGGCTGACTCCATACACAGTTTTAAATGTAGATATGATAGAGCCCAGTATGCTCAGGAATCTGTACACCAGTTGATTGACAGTTGAGAGGCGGGACCAAAGAGCCAAAGCTCAACCCCCGCAAGCACAAATAGGTGAGTACAAATAGGTGAGTACACTTCAACAGGTTGCAGAGATAGTCAGAGAAATGTCTACTGGAGTTCAACACGAGCAAATGTAAAGTTATGGAAATGGGACTAGGAGATAGGAGACCAAAGGGACAGTACACAATGAAGGGACACTGCCCACCTGTGATGACTCGAGAAAGAGACCTGGGGGTGGACGTAACACCTAATCTATCTCCTGAGGCACATATAAATAGGATAACGACAGCAGCGTATTATACACTGGCAAAAGTTTGAACATCATTCAGAAACCTAAGTGAGGAGGCATTTAGGGCGCTTTACACTGCCTACGTGAGGCCAGTCTTAGAGTATGCCGCCTCATCATGGAGTCCCCATCTGAAGAAACACACAAGGAAACTGGAAAAGGTTCAGAAGTTTGCAACGAGACTCGTCCCAGAGTTACGAGGGATGGGGTATGAAGAGCACCTGAAGGAACTGAACCTTACGACACTAGAAAAAAGAAGGGAGAGGGGGGATATGATAGAAACGTATAAAATACTCAGGGGAATTACAGAGTGGAAATAGATGAAATGTTCACACGGAATAGTAACAGAACGAGGGGACATGGGTGGAAGCTGAAACTCAGATGAATCACAGAGATGTTAGGAAGTTTTCTTTTAGCGTGAAAGTAGTGGAAAAATGGAATGCACTTAAGGAACAGGTTGTGGAAGCAAATACTATTCATAATTTTAAAACTAGGTATGATAGGGAAATAGGACCGGAGTCATTGCTGTTAACAAGCGATGGCTCGATAGGCGGGATCCAAGAGTCAATGCTCGATCCTGCAGTACTAGGTAATAGATGAGTGAACACACACACACACACACACACACACACACACACCTTCCCTTCTATATATTACAAGTTTCTTCTAATTATTGGCTTCCTATGTTTCTAAAGTTCGTGTCGGGTGTACATGTTTCCGACTCCTCATTAACCTCATCATTATCGTCTCCTCCTTCCTTTAGTGCCTCTTCCTCCTCCTCCTCCTCCTCCTTGCCACGCCTCCCTCCCCCCCCCCCCAGCCCCCATTAGATCATCTTAACTATCACGTCATAAGAGAGAGTTCCGCCTCTATAATCATCAACAACTGAATGCAGACGCTCTATTAAAATATATTTCAATTTTTTTATTAAAAAAAATTGGAGTAATGATTATATGTAACACGAAATAATACAAATCATAATATTATTAATAATAAATAATAGTAACAAAATCTATGTCAATAAGAGGAGAAATAATATTTGCGATAATGCAATAATTAACACAAAACCAATAAACAAGACGTGGAACAACGCTGCCAGAGCTGCAGTATATGCTATACTCAAATTCTGTCAGTTGAAATGTAACCAATCACAGGCAAGTAGGCCTCTGACGTCATGCCAGACAGAGGAGCATCAAGCCATGCTCCCAGCAGCCTCAGTTATCCTCACAGACTCAGAGTAGAAGGACCTCGGCTAGGCAGATATATACCTTGCTATCTCAGTCAATAAATATAAACAGAAGCGACTACTGAGTCTACCTTCTACCCCGAACAAGGCAAACGAATATATATGCTTCAACACTCGCTTAACTAGTTTGCAAGCAATGTTATCTGCAATATATCAAGATCGCAACACCGAAAAATTGTGCCTTCGGTGTTGCAACCTTAGGACCAATACAACAATCTGAGAGCAGTGCAATACTCACTCTTGAATTACTCTACAACATCAACAACAGCTCTTCCTTAGTACTCACTACACCAACATCCACAACATAACACTACAGCAAAATCCATGTTTTCAGGAGTATCTACAAGGTTATCTTGAGGTTATCTTGAGATGATTTCGGGGCTTTTTTAGTGTCCCCGCGGCCCGGTCCTCGACCAGGCCTCCACCCCCAGGAAGCAGCCCGTGACAGCTGACTAACACCCAGGTACCTATTTTACTGCTAGGTAACAGTATTTACAACACTACAGTTGTATTACGTACTCAATACAACTACAGTTGTATTGAGTACGACATTATTTACATCATACAGAAACAATATTACAGAGGTGCCACATCATATCATCATCCTCTACAACACAACAAGAGCTACAACCGTAGAGAGGTTCCCAGTATAGAGCCATCACTCTGTGTTAGAGCAACAGAACGAGACAACAATGCTGGAATCCTCGGAGTTGATATTCCTCTACAATAATGTACAAATCTCTACAATAATTTAAATTGGCCACATGGAGACCTACATTCTACAACATGTCTGCACTTGCACAACACTTGTCTCGTCATTTCTACAACACAACCACTTGCTCCTTATAACTTTGCAACAACACCCTGTTAAGAGTCTAATATATTTACAATAAATATCAATAACCTCCACAAGAATACAACGCCCCACCACACTACACTACCATCCACCACAACCCAACGCCCCACCACACTACAGTACCATCCACCACAACACGAAAGCCTCCATAAAAGTCACTCGAATACTTCAACAAAAGTCCATCACCACCCACACCTGCAAGATGGGGGTGCCACAGAGCTACAAGAGAGGCAGCTAGAGGCGAGGGCGGCTCTAGTAGCACACCAGGAGCACAATAGAGGGGGCGGGAATATGGCAGACTATGGCCTAATAAACACACATTCACTCCCCTGCCGACCCTATGTCAACCAACTCCAGATAATTCAATCACATTTCCGCCCGGGCTGCCTCTCTGCGCTTCAAAGTCTAATTCATTTAAATTCATCGATGGTCTTTATTGGGGAAAATCCAGACCATATTGGTAGCGGATTAGAGGGAGGGAGAGAGGGATGGAGGGAGAGAGAGGGAGGGACAGAGAGGGAGGGAGAGCGAACTCCCTCCCCACTACTCGTGAAAATAAACCGCACAGAGAATAATGTCCGTTTCAGACCGTTTCGCCGACTTCAGTTTGGGACGTTCATGGCGGAGCGAACCTTCTCAGTCTCCCAAGACACAAGTCACTTGGAAAATGATACCCAACACTTTGTTCCCGAGAGCCACTAACGGTAGCCAGAGCGCCCCGCGGAGCTCCGCACCGTGGAACAACGCCCCCTGAAGGTAGCGAGGCGTGGAGCCAGACTCCGGGAGGTGGAGACAGCCCCGGCTGGCTCAAATCTCGCCCCGCTATTCATGAGCACAGGGTAAAACAAACTAGGGGAAGGGTGATTAAGTTATTGCATTCGCCCGACGTCATATTTATTCCGAAGAAAGTAGTTCTGGGCTCGCTGAGGCACGCGCATGCTGGGGCGAGCTATGAGCAGCGTGAGGAGCAGGTGCAGTGGTGGTAGTTACTGTAATATTAGTGGTGGTAGTTACTGTAATGTTAGTGGTGGTAGTTACTGTAATGTTAGTGGTGGTAGTTACTGTAATATTAGTGGTGGTAGTTACTGTAATGTTAGTGGTGGTAGTTACTGTAATGTTAGTGGTGGTAGTTACTGTAATGTTAGTGGTGGTAGTTACTGTAATGTTAGTGGTGGTAGTTACTGTAATATTAGTGGTGGTAGTTACTGTAATGTTAGTGGTGGTAGTTACTGTAATGTTAGTGGTGGTAGTTACTGTAATGTTAGTGGTGGTAGTTACTGTAATATTAGTGGTGGTAGTTACTGTAATATTAGTGGTGGTAGTTACTGTAATATTAGTGGTGGTAGTTACTGTAATATTAGTGGCGGTAGTTACTGTAATGTTAGTGGTAGTAGTTACTGTAATGTTAGTGGTGGTAGTTACTGTAATGTTAGTGGCGGTAGTTACTGTAATATTAGTGGCGGTAGTAGTAGTGGAAGAAGCAGTCCAGATATATGAAAATTACATATAGGGGAATTACAGGGAGCCGGTGGCTGAGCGGACAGAAAACTGGACGCGTGATCCTGTAGTCCCAGGTTCGATCCCGGGCGCCGGCGAGAAACAATGGGCAGAGTTTTTTCACCCTGATGTCCCTGTTACCTAGCAGTAAATAGGTACCTGGGTGTTAGTCAGCTGTCACGGGCTGCTTCCTGGGGGGTGGAGGCCAGGTCGAAGACCGGGCCGTGGGGACACTAAGCCCCGAAATCATCTCAAGATAACCTCAAGAAGATACCTGAAATTTGTACCATATATGGCAAGTGGGGAAGTTTGTACCATATATGGCAAGTGGGGAAGTTTGTACCAAATATGGCAAGTGGGGAAGTTTGTACCACATATGGCAAGTGGGGGGAGTTTGTACCACATATGGCAAGTGGGGGAAGTTTGTACCACATATGGCAAGTGGGGAAGTTTGTACCACATATGGCAAGTGGGGAAGCTTGTACCACATATGTCAAGTGGGGAAGCTTGTACCACATATGCCAAGTGGGGAAGCTTGTACCACATATGCCAAGTGGGGAAGCTTGTACCATATATGGCAAGTGGGGAAGTTTGTACCATATATGGCAAGTGGGGAAGTTTGTACCATATATGGCAAGTGGGGGAAGTTTGTACCATATATGGCAAGTGGGGAAGTTTGTACCACATATGGCAAGTAGGGGAAGTTTGTACCATATATGGCAAGTGGGGGAAGTTTGTACCACATATGGCAAGTAGGGGAAGTTTGTACCATATATGGCAAGTGGGGGAAGTTTGTACCACATATGGCAAGTAGGGGAAGTTTGTACCATATATGGCAAGTGGGGGAAGTTTGTACCACATATGGCAAGTGGGGAAGTTTGTACCATATATGGCAAGTGGGGAAGTTTGTACCATATATGGCAAGTGGGGAAGTTTGTACCATATATGGCAAGTGGGGAAGTTTGTACCATATATGGCAAGTGGGGAAGTTTGTACCACATATGGCAAGTGGGGAAGTTTGTACCATATATGGCAAGTGGGGAAGTTTGTACCATATATGCCAAGTGGGGAAGTTTGTACCATATATGGCAAGTGGGGAAGTTTGTACCATATATGGCAAGTGGGGAAGAGGTATGTAAATGTAACCTTTCCCGGGAGTGTATACATAGATGATATTAAATATGAGAAAGGGCCGGGCTAATATGTGTCCATCCACATATAACATGCCCAATCCTGGGCGGGTTGTCGCTAACAAGCCAACTGGGGAACACACCACTTCATCTGTTACCAAAGAGTAAACAATAGACAAAAGAAATACAAGAGAAAGTCAACACGCAACAAAAGGAGAGTCGGGCAAGAGGCGGCGATAGGGGATCGCCAAGCCTCCCGGGCCGACGATAATGCGATCTAATCCGTCGTCAGCGCCGAACAAGTGCACATCGGGCGAGTGTGAGTGTGTGTGTGTGTGTGTGTGTGTGTGTGTGTGTGTGTGTGTGTGTGTGTGTGTGTGTGTGTGTGTGTGTGTGTGTGTGTGTGTGTGTGTGTGTGTGTGTGCACGTCTGCGCGGGGCGGGGAGACTAGAGAATTGAAGTATAAGTTCGGCAAATTTAACTTGATTTGAGGGAGAGGGGAAAAGGGAAAAAGAGGGAGAGCCTAGGGATTGAGGGGACGGGCAGGAGGAGAGGGGAGACGGGGCGTTGTGTGTACTTTCCGGGGACCAGATTGCGTGGTGATGCGCCCACTCATTTGCATGTGGGTTGAGCAGAGAGAAGAGAGGGACGGGAGTGGGAGGGACGCACGTCTATGAAGCCTTCACTTGGAAAACTGCTCCACTCACGGATTAGATTGGCTTTGTGACAGATGGCGAGACGGCGGTGGCTTTGCTGCTGCTACTGCTGCTGCCCTTGTTACTGCTACTGGTGTCCTTGTTACTGCTACTGCTGCCCTTGTTACTGCTACTGCTGTCCTTGTTACTGCTACTGCTGTCCTTGTTACTGCTCCTGCTGCCCTTGTTACTGCTACTGCTGCCCTTGTTACTGCTACTGCTGCCCTTGTTACTGCTACTGCTGCCCTTGTTACTGCTACTGCTGCCCTTGTTACTGCTACTGGTGTCCTTATTACTGCTACTGCTGCCCTTGTTACTGCTACTGCTGCTCTTGTTACTGCTACTGGTGTCCTTGTTACTGCTACTGCTGTCCTTGTTACTGCTACTGCTGTCCTTGTTACTGCTCCTGCTGCCCTTGTTACTGCTACTGCTGCCCTTGTTACTGCTACTGCTGCCCTTGTTACTGCTACTGCTGCCCTTGTTACTGCTACTGGTGTCCTTGTTACTGCTACTGCTGCCCTTGTTACTGCTACTGGTGCCCTTGTTACTGTTACTGCTGTCCTTGTTACTGCTACTGCTGCCCTTGTTACTGCTACTGCTGCCCTTGTTACTGCTACTGGTGCCCTTGTTACTGTTACTGCTGTCCTTGTTACTGCTACTGTTGCCCTTGTTACTGCTACTGGTGTTACTGCTGTCCTTGTTACTGCTCCTGGTGCTGCCGGTGTTACTGCTACTGCTGCTGCCGGTGTTACTGCTACTGCTGCTGCCGGTGTTACTGCTACTGCTGCTGCCGGTGTTACTGCTACTGATGTTACTGCTACTGCCGGTGTTACTGCTACTGGTGTTACTGCTGCCCTTACTACTGCTACTGGTGTTACTGCTCCTGGTGCTACTCCTGCTGCCGGTGTTACTGCTCCTGGTGCTACTGATACTGCTTCTGCCGGTGTTACTGCTACTGGTGTTACTGCTGCTGGTGTTACTGCTACTGCCGCTGTTACTGCTACTGCTGCCGGTGTTACTGCTCCTGGTGCTACTGCTGCTGGTCTTACTGCTACTGCTGCTGGTCTTACTGCTCCTGGTGCTACTGCTGCTGGTCTTACTGCTCCTGGTGCTACTGCTGATGGTGTTACTGCTCCTGGTGCTACTGCTGCTGGTCTTACTGCTCCTGGTGCTACTGCTGCCAGTGTTACTGCTCCTGGTGCTACTGCTGCCAGTGTTACTGCTCTTGGTGCTACTGCTGCCAGTGTTACTGCTCCTGGTGCTACTGCTGCCAGTGTTACTGCTCCTGGTGCTACTGCTGCCAGTGTTACTGCTCCTGGTGCTACTGCTGCCAGTGTTACTGCTCCTGGTGCTACTGCTCTTGGTGCTACTGCTGCTGCCGGTGTTGCTGCTCCTGGTGCTACTGCTGGTGTTACTGCTCCCGGTGCTACTGCTGCTGCCGGTGTTACTGCTCCCGGTGCTACTGCTGCTGCTGGTGTTACTGCTCCTGGTGTTACTGCTGCTGCCGGTGTTACTGCTACTGGTGTTACTGCTGCTGCTGGTGTTACTGCTCCTGGTGTTACTGTTGCTGCCGGTGTTACTGCTACTGGTGTTACTGCTGCTGCTGGTGTTACTGCTCCTGGTGCTACTGCTGCTGCCGGTGTTACTGCTACTGGTGTTACTGCTGCTGCCGGTGTTACTGCTGCTGGTGTTACTTCTGCTGGTGTTACTGCTCGTGGTGTTACTGCTGCTCCTGGTGCTACTGCTGCTGGTGCTACTGCTCCTGGTGTTACTGCTGCCGGTGTTACTGCTCCTGGTGTTACTACTGCTGCTGGTGCTACTGCTCCTTTTGTTACTGCCCCTGGTGCTACTGCTGCTGCTGGTGCTACTGCTCCTGGTGTTACTGCTCCTGGTGCTACTGCTGCTGGTGTTACTGCTCCTGGTGCTACTGCTGCCGGTGTTACTGCTCGTGGTGTTACTGCTGCTAGTGTTACTGCTCCTGGTGCTACTGCTGCTGGTGTTACTGCTCGTGGTGTTACTGCTGCTGGTGTTACTGCTCCTGGTGTTACTGCTCCTGGTGCTACTGCTGCTGGTGTTACTGCTCCTGGTGCTACTGCTGCCGGTGTTACTGCTCGTGGTGTTACTGCTGCTAGTGTTACTGCTCCTGGTGCTACTGCTGCTGGTGTTACTGCTCGTGGTGTTACTGCTGCTGGTGTTACTGCTCCTGGTGTTACTGCTCCTGGTGCTACTGCTCCTGGTGCTACTGCTGCTGGTGTTACTGCTCCTGGTGCTACTGCTGCTGGTGTTACTGCTGCTGGTGTTACTGCTCCTGGTGTTACTGCTCCTGGTGTTAATGCTCCTGGTGCTACTGCTGCTGGTGTTACTGCTCCTGGTGCTACTGCTGCCGGTGTTACTGGTCGTGGTGTTACTGCTGCTAGTGTTACTGCTCCTGGTGTTACTGCTCTTGGTGCTACTGCTGCTGGTGTTACTGCTCGTGGTGTTACTGCTGCTGGTGTTACTGCTCCTGGTGCTACTGCTGCTGGTGTTACTGCTCCTGGTGCTACTGCTGCTGGTGTTACTGCTCGTGGTGTTACTGCTGCTGGTGTTACTGCTCCTGGTGCTACTGCTGCTGGTGTTACTGCTCCTGGTGTTACTGCTCCTGGTGCTACTGCTTCTGGTGTTACTGCTCCTGGTGTTACTGCTCCAGGTGATACTGCTACTGGTGTTACTGCTGCCCTTGTTACTGCTCCTGGTGCTGCCGGTGTTACTGCTACTGCTGCTGCCGGTGTTACTGCTACTGCTGCTGCCGGTGTTACTGCTACTGATGTTACTGCTACTGCCGGTGTTACTGCTACTGGTGTTACTGCTACTGCTGCTGCCGGTGTTACTGCTACTGATGTTACTGCTACTGCCGGTGTTACTGCTACTGGTGTTACTGCTGCCCTTACTACTGCTACTGGTGTTACTGCTCCTGGTGCTACTCCTGCTGCCGGTGTTACTGCTCCTGGTGCTACTGATACTGCTTCTGCCGGTGTTACTGCTACTGGTGTTACTGCTGCTGGTGTTACTGCTACTGCCGGTGTTACTGCTACTGCTGCCGGTGTTACTGCTCCTGGTGCTACTGCTGCTGGTCTTACTGCTACTGCTGCTGGTCTTACTGCTCCTGGTGCTACTGCTGCTGGTCTTACTGCTCCTGGTGCTACTGCTGCTGGTGTTACTGCTCCTGGTGCTACTGCTGCTGGTCTTACTGCTCCTGGTGCTACTGCTGCCAGTGTTACTGCTCCTGGTGCTACTGCTGCCAGTGTTACTGCTCTTGGTGCTACTGCTGCCAGTGTTACTGCTCCTGGTGCTACTGCTGCCAGTGTTACTGCTCCTGGTGCTACTGCTGCCAGTGTTACTGCTCCTGGTGCTACTGCTGCCAGTGTTACTGCTCCTGGTGCTACTGCTCTTGGTGCTACTGCTGCTGCCGGTGTTGCTGCTCCTGGTGCTACTGCTGGTGTTACTGCTCCCGGTGCTACTGCTGCTGCCGGTGTTACTGCTCCCGGTACTACTGCTGCTGCTGGTGTTACTGCTCCTGCTGTTACTGCTGCTGCCGGTGTTACTGCTACTGGTGTTACTGCTGCTGCTGGTGTTACTGCTCCTGGTGTTACTGCTGCTGCCGGTGTTACTGCTACTGGTGTTACTGCTGCTGCTGGTGTTACTGCTCCTGGTGCTACTGCTGCTGCCGGTGTTACTGCTACTGGTGTTACTGCTGCTGCCGGTGTTACTGCTGCTGGTGTTACTTCTGCTGGTGTTACTGCTCGTGGTGTTACTGCTGCTCCTGGTGCTACTGCTGCTGGTGCTACTGCTCCTGGTGTTACTGCTGCCGGTGTTACTGCTCCTGGTGTTACTACTGCTGCTGGTGCTACTGCTCCTGGTGTTACTGCCCCTGGTGCTACTGCTGCTGCTGGTGCTACTGCTCCTGGTGTTACTGCTCCTGGTGCTACTGCTGCTGGTGTTACTGCTCCTGGTGCTACTGCTGCCGGTGTTACTGCTCGTGGTGTTACTGCTCGTGGTGTTACTGCTGCTAGTGTTACTGCTCCTGGTGCTACTGCTGCTGGTGTTACTGCTCGTGGTGTTACTGCTGCTGGTGTTACTGCTCCTGGTGTTACTGCTCCTGGTGCTACTGCTGCTGGTGTTACTGCTGCTGGTGTTACTGCTCCTGGTGTTACTGCTCCTGGTGTTACTGCTCCTGGTGCTACTGCTGCTGGTGTTACTGCTCCTGGTGCTACTGCTGCTGGTGTTACTGCTGCTGGTGTTACTGCTCCTGGTGTTACTGCTCCTGGTGTTAATGCTCCTGGTGCTACTGCTGCTGGTGTTACTGCTCCTGGTGCTACTGCTGCCGGTGTTACTGGTCGTGGTGTTACTGCTGCTAGTGTTACTGCTCCTGGTGTTACTGCTCTTGGTGCTACTGCTGCTGGTGTTACTGCTCGTGGTGTTACTGCTGCTGGTGTTACTGCTCCTGGTGCTACTGCTGCTGGTGTTACTGCTCCTGGTGCTACTGCTGCTGGTGTTACTGCTCGGGGTGTTACTGCTGCTGGTGTTACTGCTCCTGGTGCTACTGCTGCTGGTGTTACTGCTCCTGGTGTTACTGCTCCTGGTGCTACTGCTTCTGGTGTTACTGCTCCTGGTGTTACTGCTCCAGGTGCTACTGCTGCTGGTGTTACTGCTCCTGGTGTTACTGCTCCTGGTGCTACTGCTGCTGGTGTTACTGCTCCTGGTGTTACTGCTCCTGGTGTTACCGCTGCTGGTGTTACTGCTGCTGGTGTTACTGCTCCTGGTGTTACTGCTGCTGGTGTTACTGCTCCTGGTGTTACTGCTGCTGGTGTTACAGCTCCTGATGTTACTGCTCCTGGTGTTACTGCTGCTGGTGTTACTGCTGCTGGTGTTACTGCTCCTGGTGTTACTGCTCCTGGTGTTACTGCTCCTTGTGCTACTGCTGCTGGTGTTACTGCTCCTGGTGTTACTGCTCCTGGTGTTACTGCTGCTGGTGTTACTGCTCCTGGTGTTACTGCTGCTGGTGTTACTGCTGCTGGTGTTACTGCTCCTGGTGTTACTGCTCCTGGTGTTACTGCTGCTGGTGTTACTGCTCCTGATGTTACTGCTCCTGGTGTTACTGCTGCTGGTGTTACTGCTGCTGGTGTTACTGCTCCTGGTGTTACTGCTGCTGGTGTTACTGCTCCTGATGTTACTGCTCCTGGTGTTACTGCTCCTGGTGTTACTGCTGCTGGTGTTACTGCTGCTGGTGTTACTGCTCCTGGTGTTACTGCTCCTGGTGTTACTGCTCCTGGTGCTACTGCTGCTGGTGTTACTGCTCCTGGTGTTACTGCTCCTGGTGTTACTGCTCCTGGTGTTACTGCTCCTGGTGTTACTGCTGCTGGTGTTACTGCTCCTGATGCTACTGCTGCCGGTGTTACAATTAGGTGAGCAGTAAAAGGTTATCTTTTACTCCTCACCTAACTGCATGTACCTGACCTCCCAGTCGTATAAATCCGATACGCGCTGTCGTGTCCTATTACGGGCTCACCATAGCCCGTGCTACATGGATATTTCGTTCTGCGTAGTTAAATCTAAACACAACAACATCCTGTCCCATCACTTGAGAATGAACCATGTAGGTTCGAAATGTTGTCAATTTATAATAAGTGTAATACATTCTACAGTTCCATTTTATTTAAAGTCAACCTCGAACAACTATGACAATTCAAGAAATACTCTTAATTAAACCATGATGCGAGAGCACTAGTTGGAGGGATACAAGCCCTTAACAAGAAAATAATCAACATGGAATATGCACTCATTCAATTAAACGTTTAATATTATATATATATATATATATATATATATATATATATATATATATATATATATATATATATATATATATATATATACACACACACACACACACACACACACACACACACACACACACACACACACACACACACACACACACACACACACACACACACGAGGCTACTGAAGGATCATGGAGGCTACTCCTTGGACCACTCAGGTCCAAGGAGGAGGTGGACCCGTCACGGTGTTCCTGGAGGTAGAGACCAAGTCCCTCCAGTCCTCGTCCTCTCCAAGATGGCGGCTCTAAGACCAGAAGTAATACTAATCTCGTTACACTCAGCTCGACTGATGGCCGTAATATTTGATAAGGTGTGGGCGTGGTAGAGGGCGTGGTAGAGGGCGTGGTAGAGGGCGTGGTAGTGGGCGTGGTAGAGGGCGTGGTAGTGGGCGTGGTAGAGGGTGTGGTAGAGGGTGTGGTAGAGGGCGTGGTAGAGGGCGTGGTAGTGGACGTGGTAGAGGGCGTGGTAGAGGGCGTGGTAGAGGGCGTGGTAGTGGGCGTGGTAGAGGGCGTGGTAGAGGGCGTGGTAAAGGGCGTGGTAGTGGGCGTGGTAGTGGGCGTGGTAGTGGGCGTGGTAGAGGGCGTGGTAGAGGGCGTGGTAGTGGGCGTGGTAGAGGGCGTGGTAGTGGGCGTGGTAGAGGGTGTGGTAGAGGGTGTGGTAGAGGGCGTGGTAGAGGGCGTGGTAGAGGGCGTGGTAGTGGACGTGGTAGAGGGCGTGGTAGAGGGCGTGGTAGAGGGCGTGGTAGTGGGCGTGGTAGAGGGCGTGGTAGAGGGCGTGGTAAAGGGCGTGGTAGTGGGCGTGGTAGTGGGCGTGGTAGTGGGCGTGGTAGAGGGCGTGGTAGTGGGCGTGGTAGAGGGCGTGGTAGAGGGCGTGGGGGTTATTGTACACGGGCGCAGATGCCGCCCATTGTGGTAGTGGAGGTGTAGTCCATCACATGGAGTTCACCTAGTGTAATTTGGTGTACTCCATGTGATACAAACATCACCTATTTGTATATACTTGATCTATTGGTATAAATCCAATACGCCCAGTACAGTCCCATCACTTGAGAATGAACCGTGTAGGTTCGAAATGTTGTGTAAATTTATAGTGTAATACATTATACAGTTAATTATTCTTATTTTTCACCTCGAACAAATATGACATTTGGAGAAATCCTCTTTCAATTAAAACACGATGCAAGAGCACTAGTCAGAGGAATCGAAGCTTTAAAGAAGAAAAAATTTAATTATATATATATATATATATATATATATATATATATATATATATATATATATATATATATATATATATATATATATATCACACATACATGTCGTACCTAGTAGCCAGAATGCACTTCTTGGCCTATTATGCAAGGCCCGATTTGCCTAATAGGCCAAATTGCAAAAAAGTTTTTGCAATTTGGAGAAATCTAGTGAGATTTCAGCTGATGACATCACTATTTGCAAGGGAATGGTGTACGGTTCTTTACTTAAGGGTACTGTGCCTAATTGTCCAGAGAGGTTTATGCGAGCGTTCAATACCCTCAAAAAAGATAACTCTCTACATATCACTAAAGCTGATAAGTCCAATGCTGTTGTCATCATGGACAAAGAAGACTACGTCCAAAAAAATGAACCACTTATTAGAGGACAGAGACACTTACTTACCTGTTAATAGTGACCCTATTGAAAGACTTATTGCTCATTTCAACAAAACTCTTAAAACCGCGCTCAAGAACGATAAGGAGTTGATTCCTAAGTTTTTAAGTCGTTCCCCTTCTCTCCCATATCTATATGGGCTTATTAAAACACACAAACCGAATAATCCTGCAAGACCTATTATTAGTTCTGTTGGATCTGTGGCATATAGACTTTCCAAATGGCTTGTCCAAGTCTTGTCTCCAGTAGTAGGTTCCATTTCCAACTCACACGTAACAAACAACTTGGACTTGGTTAACAAGTTGTCTAGTTTGAAATTAAATTATGATTTTAAACTTGTGAGTTTTGATGTGACTGCTCTGTTCACTAGGGTTCCTGTTTATGATCTGTTGTCAAACTTACGGGATCTACTCCCAAGGTATAATTTAACTTTGCCTACTAACACCATTATTGAACTTATAAAATTGTGCATTAAAGATAATTATTTCAGCTTTAATGATTCATTTTATAAACAAACATTTGGCATGGCGATAGGTAATCCCCTCTCCCCTGTTTTGAGCAATCTGTACATGGAATGTTTCGAAACAAATATCCTTCCCAGGATTTTACCCTCAAATTTGCTTTGGTACAGGTACGTTGACGATATTTTGTGCCTGTGGCCGGTTAATTATGACGAAACTGATTTTCTCAATCAAATTAATTCGCTGGTTCCGTCAATTAAATTCACAATTGAGAACGAAGTGAATGGTGTTCTGCCTTTTTTAGACATCATGATTCACAGAATTGGTAGGAGTTTCAAATTCAATGTGTATAGGAAACCTACCAATGTGTGCTCGTATGTACATTTCTATTCAAATCATCATGTTCAGGTCAAGCGGACAGTTTTTTCTGGTATGTTTCTCAGAGCCCTGAGAGTTTGCAGTCCGGAATTTTTCGATGAAGAAATAGCAAATATATTTGAAATTGGGAAGAAGTTAAAATACCCAAAATCTATCTTGGATCTTGCGTTTGGTCAAGCAAAAACGACTTTCTACAAACAGACTACTAAGTCTAAACCAGAACTGAAAAATTCGTTGGTATTACCATATTCTGAGGGTCTAGTAAATCTTGCCCCAACCCTGAAGAACCTTAATATTAACCCAGTGTTAAAAATGATAATACAGTTAAGTCCATGTTAATTAAGAACTCGCCCTCGTCTGTAGCAGGTTGTGTGTATTCCATCCCTTGTAATGAGTGTGCATGTGTTTACATCGGCCAGACTGGTAAATCTCTTTCCTCGCGTTTAAAACAACATTCATATGCTATTCGTACAGCCCAGCAATCCAGTGCATTGTATTTACATTCCAGTTTATGTAATCATTCTTCACAGGGACAAAATGTATTGTTAAAAGTAAGGATTTTGTTGAACGAAACGTGATCGAGTCTGCTCTGATCAAACATTGTAACAACAGCCTTAATGTGAGCCCCGGTATGTACAAGTTGGATCCCTATTTAAGCCTCAATATAGCACGTCAAAACAATATAGCAATCATTTAACACGTATGGCACTTGGATATATTAATAGGAGCTGCCTCGTATGGGCCAATAGGCCTTCTGCAGTTACCTTCTTTCTTATAATTCCATTCCTCCACTTATTTTTGGTGGTCAGGTGATCTGCCCAGGCTGATATAAAGGTCTGATCAGCAATGTTTTCTTATCTTCATTCTACTTTGCTCTGATGAAGGCGAATTAGCCGAAAACGCATTAAGTATTTTCTATTTTTCACATGTGGTTATTCGGCATACTTGGATCAGTGTTTTTGTGATCATTGTTGCATATATATATATATATATATATATATATATATATATATATATATATATATATATATATATATATATATATATGTCGTACCTAGTAGCCAGAACTCACTTCTCAGCCTACTATTCAAGGCCCGATTTGCCTATTAAGCCAAGTTTTCCTGAATTAATATATTTTCTCTAATTTTTTTCTTATGAAATGATAAAGCAACCCTTTTCTCTATGTATGAGGTCAGTTTTTTTTTATTGGAGTTAAAATTAACGTAGATATATGACCGAACCTAACCAACCCTACCTAACCTAACCTAACCTATATTTATAGGTAAGGTTAGGTTAGGTAGCCAAAAAAAGCTAGGTTAGGTTAGGTTAGGTAGGTTAGGTAGACGAAAAAACATTAATTCATGAAAACTTGGCTTATTAGGCAAATCGGGCCTTGAATAGTAGGCTGAGAAGTGCGTTCTGGCTATTAGGTACGACATATATATATATATATACATATATATATATATATATATATATATATATATATATATATATATATATATATATATATATATATATATATATATATATATATATATATATATATATATATATATATATATATATATATATATATATATATATATATATATATATATATATATATATATATATATATATATATATATATATATATGTCGTACCTAGTAGCCATAACGCACTTCTCAGCCTACAATGCAAGGCCCGATTTGCCTAATAAGCCAAGTTTTTATGAATTAATTGTTTTTCGACTACCTAACCTACCTAACCTAACCTAACCTAACTTTTTCGGTTACCTAACCTAACCTAACCTATAAAGATAGGTTAGGTTAGGTTAGGTAGGGTTGGTTAGGTTCGGTCATATATGTAAGTTAATTTTAACTCCAATAAATTTTTTTTTACCTCATACATTATGAAATGGGTAGCTTTATTATTTCATAAGAAAAAAATTAGAGAAAATATATTAATTCAGGAAAACTTGGCTTATTAGGCAAATCGGGCCTTGCATAGTAGGCTGAGAAGTGCGTTCTGGCTACTAGGTACGACATATATATATATATATATATATATATATATATATATATATATATATATATATATATATATATATATATATATATATATATATATATATATTTATATATAGAGTCAACCAACACTTGTACCCCCTATTAGACTATTTTACAGGTACTTCTTTTCGACGGCTCATAAAACGGAGGAAAGGGTCCTGAAAGATATTGTTGATAGGAACGTTATCCCTACAGATAAAATCAGAAAAGACAATTGATAATTTATTATAAAAAAAAACGGCCAATCTACTCATGAAAATCTCCCAGACACCAAGCAGAACACTTTGCAGGAAACCAACGTCGTTTATGCCTTTAAATGCCCACTTGG